TTGCCCTCTATAAAACACTGCTAAAAATGAAAAGACAAACCACATACTGGTAAAACACATATCTGATAAAGCACTGGTATCTAATTATACAAAAAACGCTTGTAATTCAATGATAACAAACCAATTAAAACATGAGCAAAAAATATGAACAGAAACCTAATCAAAGAAGATATGCAGATGACTAACAAGTACATAGGAAAATGCTCAACATCATGTCATCAAGGCATTGATAACATTAATTAAGACAACAATGAGATAGCACTATATACGTATTAAAATGGATACAATCCAAAACATGGACAACACCAAATGTTAGCAAGAATGTGGATCAACAGGAATTTTCACTTGTTGCTAGTTGGAATGCAAAGTGGTACAGCCACTTTGGTAGAGAGTCTGGTGGTTCCTCACAACACTAAACATACTTTTATCATATGATCCAACAATCACATTCCTTGATATTTACCCAAATGAAAACTTAAGTCCAAATGAGAACCTGCACACAAATGTTTACAGTGTCTATATCCATAATTGCCAAGATTTGGAAGCAGCCAAGCTGTCCTTTTATAGGTAAATATAGTGGCGCCTGGGTGGCTCAGTCGGTTAAGTGTCCAACTTCGGCTCAGGTCATGATCTCACGGTTCGTGGGTTCGAGCCCCACGTCGGGCTCTGTGCTGACAGCTCAGAACCTGGAGCCTGCTTCACATTCTGTGTCTCCCTCTCTCTCTGCCCCTCCCCAGCTTGCACTCTGTCTCTCTATCTTTCTCAAAAATAAATAAACACTTAAAAAAATTTAAAAAAATAATAGGTAAGTATATAAAGAAACTGTGGTACATCAATACAAAGGAATATCATTCAGTTATAAAAAGGAATGAGCTAGCAAGCAACAAAAATACATAGCACAATTTTAAATGAATATTTATTAAGTGAAAGAAGCCAATCTACAGAGGCTATGTACTGTATGATTCCAGCTATATGACATTCTGGAAAAGAATGGAGACAGCAAAAAGATTAGTAATTCCTGAAGTTTCAGGGGAAAAGAGGAGGGGAATAGGTGGAAAACTGGATTTTTGAGACAGTGAAATGGATTTCGCATATAACTGAGATCATACAGTATTTGTCTTTCTCTGACTTATTTCACTTAACATGATACCCTCAAGGTTCATACATGTTGTTGCAAATGGTAAGATTTACTTCTCTGTCATGATTTAATAATATTCCATTGTACATATACATACTGCATTCTCTTTATCCACTTATCCATCAAAAGACACTTAGGTTATTTTCATATCATAGCTATTGTAAATAATACAGTAAAGAACATGCAGTGCTGATATATTTTCAAGCCAGCGTTTGTTTGTTTGTTTTATTTCTTTAGGTAAATACCCAGAAGTGGAACCACTGGATCATTTGATGTCTCTACCTTCAATTTTTTCAGGAACCTCCATACTGTTTCTCATAGTGGTTGCAACAATTTACATTCTCATCAACAGTGCACAAGGATTCCCTTTTCTCCTTGTAAACACTTGTTATGGCTTGTTTTTTTGATAATAGCCATTCTAACAGGTGTGAGGTGACATCTCATTGTGGTTTTGATTTGTATCTCTGATCATTAGTGATGCTGGGACTCTTCATGTAGATGTGTTCATGTACCTGCATGTCTTCTTTGGAAAAATGTTTCTTCGGATCACCTACCATTTTTTTAATTGGATTGTTTGGGTTTTGTTTTGTTGCTATTGAGTTGTTTGATTTTGCACATAATCTCCTTATCAGATATATGATTTGTAAATATTTTACCCCATTCCATAGGTTTCCTTTTAATTTTGTTGCTGATTTCCTTTGCTGACAATTTTAGTTTGATGTGGTTCCACTTGTTTGTTTGTTTGTTGCTTTTGGAGTCATATCCAAGCCTTTTTTCATCTAGGAGTTTTATGGTTTCATGTCCTACATTCTGGTCTTTAATCCATTTAATTAATTTTTGTGTGTGGTATAAAATAGTGGTCCAGTTTCATCTTCTGTATGTGGCTGCCCAGTTTTGCAACACTAGTTATTGAAAAGACTTTTCCCATTGTATTCTTGTCTCCTTTGTCATAAATTAATTGACTATGTATGTGTGGGTTTATTTCTGGGCTCTCTACTCTGTTTCTATATGTTCATTTTAATGCCAACACCATACTGTTTTGATTACTGCAGCTTTGTAATAAAGTTTGAAATTAGGGAGAGTGATGCGTCTAGCTTTGTTTATCTTTCTGAAGATTGGTTTAGCTATTTGAGGTCTTTTGTGGTTCCATACAAATTTTAGGATACTTCTGTTTCTATGAAAAACTCATTGGAGTTTTGATAGGGATTGCATTGGGTCTGTACCCAAGATTGCTTTAAGTAGTATGAATATTTTAATAATATTTTTTCTTTTGAATCCTGAGCACAGACTATCTTTCCATTAGTTTTTTTTAATTAAAAAATTTTAATTTTATTTATTTATTTTGAGAGAGGGAGAATGAGCAGGGAGGGGCAAAGAAAGAGGGATAGAGAGAATCCCAAGCAGGCTCTGTACTGTCAGTGTGGAGCCAAACATGGGATTCGGACTCATGAACCACAATATCATGACCTGAGTCAAAATCAAGAGTCGGATGCTTAACCAACTGAGCCACCCAGACACCCCTTTGCATTTATTTGATCTTCTTCAATTATTTTAATTAATGTCTTATAGTTGTCAGTGTACAGGTCTTTCACCTACTTTGTTAAATTTGTTCCTAGTTATTTACTCTTTTTGATGCAATTTGTGAACAGGATTGTTTTCTTAAGTTCTCTCTCTCTGGTAGTTTATTTAGATATAGAAATACAATAGTTTCTTGTATATTGATTTTGTATCTTGCAACCTTATAAAATTTATTAGTTCTAATGTTTTTTTTTGTCCCCTATGGAGTCTTTAGAGTTGCCTACATATAATATCATGTCATCTACAAATAGAGATAGTTTTACTCCTTCCTTTCTAATTTGGATATGTCTTATTTCTCTTTCTTGCCTAGTTGCTCCAAGATTTGCAATGCTATGTTGAAGTAAAAGTGATGAGAGTGGGCTTCCTTGTCCTGTTCCTGATCTTAGAGGAAAAGCTTTCAGCTTTTCAATGGATCTATTCTTGACATTCATATGCCAAGTCTCAACTGTCAGTTGGGAGGCAGCATTATCAATTGCCTGAAAGTGTCTTGACAAACAGAGGTTCAGCGGTAATTGTCTTGGTAATTCCACCAAGCAATCCAGCTGGCCCAGAAGAGGTGGTATGGTAGGGTGGGGCATGGAGGTGATTCATATCTATCATGGCCTCTTGAAGTACTATAGCAGTGTAAGCTGTGTTTTTTTGCAAAACCTTTGCTGGTAAGTTTTCCATGAAATTGTGACCAATTAGAATACTTAAAAACCTGTGGCATAAACTTAATGTGAGAAGAAAATGGATCTTCATGGTGCAAAGCATGGTTTGCAGCATATGCTGTTGGTACCAGGCTCCCTCTGTTAGTTCCTAGATGTAGTTTTGGCTACAAATCACTCAAACCTCCACTTTTTTTTTGTTTTTCAAAACATTGCTTACGTGCTTGTGCTTGAGATCCCTGGGATGTTATGCTCCTCCCCCAGAGACAGTGCCTTGTTAAAGTGTTTTGATGTAGGTGTATAGCCACCAGGCTTCTAGGTGGACAGATTTTGTTCTATAATTGATGTTACAGAGTGCCTAGAGATCTGGTAGAAGCTAGATGTCTCAAAAATACTCTTTGTATTTTCTCTACTTCTCATTCCGTACTTGTTGATCATTCTCACAAGTTTTTCCTGACTGCATTTGTCCTATACAGCACTGGAAAAAGAATTCTCATCTTGGAAAGAATCTTATTTCTGGGGAATCCAAACTAAGGAGATGGTGAAAGAAGTCATGACATTGGTTATTTTTGGTGAAGAGAAGGGAATGCCTGGCACAGATTGGAGTGAGCTTCTGAAGTACTTAATGTGCTATTTCCCAATCCGACTGGTGATTACATGGCTATGTTTACTTGTGAATACTAGTGCTCTATACTTACAATTTTTGCAAAATTATGTACAAACATACATAAATTTAAAAGATTTTAAATGTGTATATTCTTTTCTCATATAATACTGCTTTAAAGAATTTATCTTAAGGAAATATTTGATTAAGTAAATGAAATTATATGTACACAATAAACAATACTAAAATGATGTATTCTAATAAATTATTACTTCTACCAAAAATATTGAATAGCACTGTATTACAGTACTTAGAATTTGATATATGGAAGGAAGGAAGAAATAAAATAATTATTGGCACTTTACATAGAAATGCTTTAAACATTAACAAATAGTGGGCCCAGAGGAGAATGATTTTTGCCTGAGATGTTGATTGAGTTTGGAGGTTGGGGGTGGTTGGTATCTAGAGAAATTTTAATTGTAAATCATATTGTAGTTGAATGTTTAAAGATAAACAAGAATTTATCAGATGCTTTAGTTTCTGTTAAATACATGTTTTCATAAGATTTGCTGCCAAATCTTGTTGTTGTAGCCAATTTCTTTCCAAAAGAGTATCAGCTGGAGAACATGCTTTTATACACACAAAACTTTGGACTACCTTTCCAAATATGTGAAATTTCAAACGACGTTTGAAGTTTCCTCTAATACTAAGACATTTTATTTTAACGTTGGATGCGCTTAGTCGTAGAATCAGATGCCCTTTTAGAATTCAATTTTATTTTTAAATTATTTACTTAAATTTCAAATTAAAATTATAGAAAAATTACATAAGATAACTTAAGGTTATATTATTATTGTTGTTGTTATTATTTAGTTTCTATGTATGTTTTACAATAATTTTGGTGGATGTTTCAAACACAAAATATATAGAGCTAGGTAACTCATAAGCTCATATCACAATGACTAATAATACTTGTATTATTAGTGAAAAGTAGAAGACAACTTTAATAGATAAATTGAAGATATGGACTCACCTGGTTTCATAAATGGCGTAAAGTTTTTTGTGTTCTTTGACTGCATTCCTGAAAACAGTAAAAGAGGATAAGATATTAGCGTTAAAATATTGCTTAGATCTGAAATTCCTTCAATAAGCATATTGTCAAATTGTGTCTATTTGGTGAAATTCAATAAATAATACTTAAAGAAATGTACACACATTTTAAAAAGCAATACACATCACATTAGGTAAGCTTAGGATTTGGTTTCTGCTCTGTTAGTAGTTGGAATGGTTACAAGACACTATTTACATTTTAGTGAAGAAAAGAGAAGAAAAAAGCAATAAAAATAAGATAATTTCAAATAGAAGTATGTACAGTGATAAAAATAAAACAAAAGTGATATAAAATGACTTGAGAAGAGCCATATTAAATGTGATAACAAAAAAATTTTCTTTGAGCAAATGAATTTTTAATTGAAATCTGAATCATGGAAGAGGTGAGAAAATAAAAGCAAGATAAAGTTCAAAGTTTCTAAAGTAAGAATGAGCCAGATGTATTTGAAACAAGTTACCATCTTCAACTTCATCATCATCATCCAATGGAAACAATAAAAGTAATAAATATTGATTAACATGTACAAGTCACTGTATCTCACATGCTGAAAGAGTAATTTGAAAAAAAATAATTGAAGTAAACCAATGGAGGTGAAATCCATAATTCAAGACTGTAAAACCTAATTGACAATGAAAAACTGTCAGTGATGTGGAACAATGAAACCCGAGGCCTGGTCTGTAGCCTTACTGTAACATCTATCATCAACCTGGTTAGCTGCTACTTCAGCAGAACATGGGCTCACAGAAAAAAAAAAATACTGGACATTTGGGAAGTACATCCAGAACTAAAAAGAAAAAACTAGGCCACTTTTTTCTACATGAAGCAAAACAATTGAAAAAGATGAGGTGATAAAATAAAATAAAATAAGCAAAATAAATATCTCAAAGAGGCAAGAGAACAGTAGTATCATGGAAAAAGAACAGAATATAAAAAAGAATCTGGTAATTTTTCAGTTATGGAATATATAACTGTTTTCAGAAAGAACGTTTAGAGGGATAAATAAAATTTAAATAACTGAAGAAAAAAATGAGAGAGCTGGAGTATCATGTTGAAGGACTCAGAAAGGCAGGATTGAAGGATAAGGAGATAATAATGTAAAGAATTAGAAAAAAAAAATGAAATATATAAGTACAGATGCCAAAGCCTGGATAATAGCAGGTACCAGAAATAGAGAAAAAATCAGGAAAGAAATTATTTGACAAAATAAAAATAAATTTTCCCAAACTAAATAAGAAACATTTTAGGTTAAATGGAAGAAATTCCACTGCATTTTTAGAATTACCATAAAGCTGTAATAATCTAATCTAGATAGTATGGTATTGATGAAGGGATAGACACATAGATCAATTGAACGCAACAGAAAGTCCAGAAGTACATACCCCAAAATATGTTCAAGTGATTGCTGACCAAGGATAAACCTTTCAGCAAATAGTGTCTAAACAACTGGACATTCATATGCAAAATTAAACTTAACTTTGGCTTAAACCTCATAACTTATACAAAAAAGATCACAGAATTAATCATATATCTGAATTACCAATTACCATATATCTAAAATTTTTCTTTTTAGATACTTGTGGGGGGAAAAAAGGAAAAAAAATATTTATGACTTGAGATTAGTAAGACTTAGACATGGCACCAAAAGCACAATCTATAATAAAATGACAAACTGTGTTTAATAAAAATTTAAAACATTAGTTTAAGAAATGAAATGTGTAAGGTAGCAAAATGACAAGGTACATATTGGCAGAAAATATTTATAAATTGCATATACAACAAAGGACTTCTATCTGGGATATATAAAGAACTCTCAAATGTCAGTAGTAAGAAATCAAACAACTCAATTAAAAACTGATTGAAAGATATGACCAGATGCTTTAGCAAATAAGATATACAGATGGCACCCAAAAACATATGCAACAAAATTATCCATTAGAGAAATGCAAATTAAAATCATATTGTGATGCCACCATACAACAGTTAGAAACTTTAGGATAAAAAAAAAAGAAAAACTAGTGAGGATTAAAAGCAACTAGAACTATCATACATAGAAGATGGTTATGCAAAATACTACAGCCATGGTGCAAAATAGTTGGGATAACTATAAAATAGTTGGGATAACCTAAGTTACTTACAAAGTTAAAGATGTATTTACCATATACTCAGAAATCTCACTTCTTGAGTATTTACTCTAGAGAAATATAAAAATATATTCACACAAAATCCATTGATAATAGCTCTGTTCAAAATGAACTAAACCTACTAACAGCCTATTTTCTTCAACAGGTAAATAAGTGAGCATACTGGGCTGCATTCATTCAATGGAATACTACTCAGCAATAAAAAAATGGGCTACTGATACACAAAACAACTTGGATGGATCCAAAAGGCATTATGCCTAGTAAAAGTTGCAAACCTAAAAAAAAATTCTGTAATTTATTACCTCATTTATATGACATTCTTAAAAAGACAGAACTAATAATTGAGATCAAATCTGTGGTTTATGCAGATTAGAGATGAAGGATAGCACAAAGGAATTTGGGTAGTGTATTAGTGTGCTTGGGCTACCGTAACAAAATACCACAAACAAGGTAACATAAACAAGTAAACGTATATTCTTGTAGTTCTGGGAGATAGAAGTCAGACCAACATCCAACAAGGACAGTTTCTTTCTGGCTTGTAGACATCCACCTTCTCACTAGGTCTTCGTATGCCCTTTCTCTGTGGTGTTTCTTCTTATAAGGACAATAATCCTATCAAAGTTCTACAGTTCTGAATGCATTTGACAGTAATTCCTTCCTTAAGGGACCCATCTTCAAATACAGTCATTTTGGGGAATGGGCCCTCCATATGTGAATTTTGGGGAGACACAAAGATGAAGTCCATAAATTCCATCCTTGGCACCTCCAAATTCATGTCATCTCACATGCAAAATACATTAATTCCATTCCCAAAGTCTTAACTCATTCTAGCATGAACTCTAAAATCCAAAATCTCATCTGAATCATATGAGTTGTAATTTACCCTGAAAAAAAATATGTCTTCAGTTGTGAGCCTGTGTAACCCTGACAGATTATGTGCTTCCAAGACATAATGGTGGAACAGGCTTAGAATAGACATTGTCATTTAAAAAAAAAAAAAAAAAAAAAAAAAAAAAAAAAAA